TCAGCTGCTTCTTAAAGCCTAGCACTCTAACCGGTCGTTCTTCATAAGATAGATCCTCTCGCAGGGGCAAGGCTTAGGGCGAAATGATGTGTCCGGGGTTTGGTACGTACTTCTTCAGGTTTTAGATGTGGAACACGTTATGAATATTCTCCAATTTTGGGGGCATTGCTAGCTGGTAGGCTACAGGTCCGATATTCTCCAAAATTTCGAATGGCCCAAGGTATCTCGGACAAAGTTTGCATTTCTTGCCACCTCTTGTTATTCCCTTCATTGGTGTAGCCTTCAGAAACACATGATCACCAACCTAGAATTCTAGGTCCTTGCGTCGACGATCTGCATAGATCTTTTGCCTGCTTTGGGCTGCCTGCATATGTTGCCGAATAGTTTGGATCTTCTCAGTCGTCTCCTGGATTACATCTGGTCCGAGTAGTCGACGATCACCGGTCTCTTCCCAACAGATAGGGGATCTATATCGCCTCCCATATAGGGCTTCATAAGGTGCCATGCCAATGCTAGAATGAAAGCTATTATTGTAGGCGAACTCTACTAGCAGCAAATGCGTAGCCCAATTGCCACCAAAATCTAAGGTTCAAGCTCTCAGCATGTCCTCCAGGGTCTGTATCATTCTCTCAGATTGTCCATCAGTTTGAGGATGTGCTGAAGTGCTGAACTTCAGTTTAGTCCCCAAAGCTTGATGTAGGCTCTTCCAAAATCTTGAGGTGAAACGTGGGTCTTGATCTGATACAATGGATATGGGAATCCCATGGAGCTTCACGATCTCTTCAATGTATAAGATGGTCAACTTTTCCATGGTATACGACATCCTGTAGGGTATGAAGTGCGCTGACTTGGTCAGGCGGTCAACTACCACCTATATGGCATCCTCTCCTTTTATTGATCGGGGTAGTCCAGTAACAAAATCCATGGTGATGTGATCCCATTTCCATTCTGGGATGGGCAAAGGTTGTAATAGTCCTGATGGTTTCTGATGTTCAATCTTCACCTGTTGGCATGTTAAACATTTTGATACAAATTCAGCTATCTCCTCCTTCATACGGTTCCACCAGAAGTTTTGTTGGAGGTTCTAATACATCTTGGTGCTACCCGGATGAAGAGCATATATGGTCTGGTGAGCTTCTCTCAATATCTGATCCTTAAGCTCCCCATCATTGGGTACACAAAGGCGATTACCCATCTTCAAAACACCATCTTGAATCTTAAAGTCTGAATATTTTCCTTGTTCCACATTCTTCCTTATCTCACTTAGCTCCTTGTCTTCCTTCTATCGCTCCTTGATTTGGTCCAACAGAGTAGGTTGTAGGCTTATCTGACAAATCTTCATTCCAGAAGAATACTTTCTAACTTCAATCTCCATTCTCTCAAGCTCCTTACTTAACTCGGCTTGTTTAGTTAGCACACAAGCTAATGCAATATGATTCTTCCGACTGAGTGCATCTGCTACTACATTCGCTTTACCTGGATGGTAAAGAATATTTACATCATAGTCTTTCAGCAATTCCAACCACCTTCTTTGCCTCATGTTAATATCCTCCTGAGTAAATATATACTTTAGGCTCTTGTGATCTGTATAAATATCACATGATACCCCATATAGATAGTGTCTTCATATATTCAGGGCAAAAATCACAGCAACTAATTCCAGATCATGAGTGAGGTAATTCTTCTCATGAGCTCTCAATTGCCTGGAGGCATAAGCCACTACCTTCTCATTCTGCATTAGAACACAACCTAAACCTCTGGAAGATGCATCACTATATATCACAAACTTATCTGAACTCATAGGGATAGTGAGGATGGGAGCGGTTACCAACCGTTTCTTCAACTCCTGAAAATGCTCTTCGCATTTCTCACTCCAATTATACTTGACATTCTTACGAGTCAAATAAGTTAAAGGGGTTGCTAATTAGGAAAAGTCTTTAACAAATCTTCTATAATATCCTGCTAGTCCCAAAAAGCTATGAATTTCAGTCACTGAGGTGGGACACGGCCAGTTCACGACAGCTTTAACCTTCGTTAGATCCACAGATATCCCATCTCTAGTGATCACATGGCCTAAAAATATCACCTTTTCTAGCCAGAATTCACACTTCCTAAACTTTGCGTATAGCTGTTGCTCTCTTAGGATTTGCAATACAATCTTAAAAATGTTCTTCATGTTCTTGGTAACTCTTAGAATAGATCAATATGTCATCAATGAAAACCACCACAAATTGATCCAAATATTGTTTGAATATCCGGTTCATTAGATCCATGAATGCGGTTGGCGCATTAGTCAGTCCAAAAGGCATCACTAAAAATTCATAGTGACCGTAGCGAGTCATGAATGCTGTTTTTGCTACGTCCTCAGGCTTAATCTTTAACTAATGGTACCCTAACCTTAAATCAATTTTGGAAAAATATTGAGCTCCTTGAAGCTGATCAAATAGATCATCTATCCTTGGGAGTGGATACTTATTCTTAATGGTCAATTTATTCAACTCTCTCTAATCTATACAGAGTCTCATACTCCCATCTTTCTTTTTCACAAATAAGACTGGTGCTCCCCATGGAGACACACTGGGTCTAATGAATCCTTTATCCAATAACTCTTGAAGTTGTTCCTTTAGTTCTTCATCTCAACTGGCGCCAATCTATAAGGGGCTTTAGATATAGGAGTGGTCCCCGGGACCAAGTCTATGGCAAACTCTATCTCCCGATCTGGAGGCAATCCTGGCAAATCTTCTGGAAAGACATCCGGGTAATCTCTTACAACAAGTATATCTAAAAGCTTTTTCTCATTCAATTGGTCACTTATCACACAAGCTAAATATCCACTACAACCTTGTCTCAACAATTTATTAGCCTTCATAAATGAGATTAGGTTTGCGAGTGGTCTTCTACTTTCCCCTTGGAAAACAAAACTCGCCTCCGCTTGTGGTTTAAACTTTACCAGTTTTCTCAAACAGTCTATAGTTGCATGATGAGATGCTAACCAATCCATTCCTAGGATAACATCAAAATCTGACATGTCTAGGCATACAAGGTCTGCATTCATGACATGATCACTCACTAAAACTCCACAATTCTCATAAACATATGTTGCTAGGAGACTACCACCCATAGGTGTGGACATAATTATCTCACAACTTAATAGTGTTGGTGAATTGGGAAAGTTCCTAGCAAAGTGAGGTGATACAAAAGAGTGTGTAGATCCAGGGTCGAAAAGTGCATGAGCGGTAAATGAACATATGGGAAGTGTACCTTCCACCACAGATGGTGATGCTTGTGCATCCTTCCTTGTCAGAGCAAAAACTCTTCCTTGGTTCCTTTGGTTCTGCTGCACACTTTGGTTGGACTGAGCCTTCCACTGGGGAGCATTTGATTGTTGAGAGGCATTAGCTCGAGCTGCGTGATCTCCTCTTGGTGCTCGCTCTGTTATTGCTTGATTCCTCAAGGTTGGACAATCTCTCTTGAAGTGCCCAGGTTGACCACACTCGAAACATCCACGGTGAAGTCTGCAATATCTAGAGTGATGATTGCCACATCTAGGGTAGGTTGCTGACTTATTTGGCTAATTTGCTCGATCACGACGAAAGGGAAATTTTGATGTCGCTGACCTCCCGGGCTGATTTGATGCTGACTTATCGATTGTGGGACCTCCTTCTGTTCGTGGGTGTTTAACTAAACTCTGCTTCTTATTGTGGATCTCCTGATACTCCAGCTGGTCTTTCTCAATTTCAAACGCAGTCTCCACCAGTTCTGTGTAGTTCCTGATTCTGAGGGCCACTAGTTTCCCTCTGATATTTCCCCTGAGTCCCCTTTGAAACTTCTTGGCCTTATCTGATTCTTTAGCGATCAGATGTGGAGCAAACCTTAATAGTTGAGTAATCTTAGCCTCAAACTCTTGGACTGTCATGTTATTTTGTTGCAAACCATGAAATTCGATTGCGCACTGATCCCTAATACTCTCCGGGATATATTTCTTATTCGTAAACTCCACAAATCTATCCCAATCAATCTGTCTCTGGGCAGCCCTTTCTAATCTTAAGGTTGCCTCCACCAATGTTCAGCTTCCCCTCTGAACATGAAGGCGGCGAATGACACCTTTTGCTCCTCTGCACAATTTAAGACTGTAAAAATCTTCTCCATTTGTAAAATCCAATACTCCGCCACCAAAGGGTCGGTGGTACATGAAAAAGATGGAGGTGTGAGCTTCTGAAATTGTTCTAGGGCTGAGATAGCAGGTGTTGGTTGGTTGCCTCTAGGATTGATACGCTGCTCGAGGATCTCTGCCAATCGTTCCAATGGGTCTTGCATTGGTTTTCTTGATCAACACGTCGTTTGCTGGCATTCCTTCTCATTCCAATAGGAACAGAAGATCCTTCTTCAATATTCTTCAAGTGTTATCCTTGCTCATTTTGGGTCTGATTTGCTCTTGTTCTCACCATTATCTATATGAAAATGTAGCAGCAAAAGTTCAGATTCCACAGACTATTCAAAGTACTTCACTCAGAATTATTTCATTGCTCGCATAATATATATAAGGAACTTCAACAATCAACTTAGAGTACTGATTTCTCCAAAAGCTTTTCATTGATATAATATTAACATACACCTATTCATCCATACAAGAGTTCTACAAAAGTACAATAATCCATATCTAATATATAGATGAAAGTATGCAGTCCCAAAATACACCACACTTGGGTGTCCACCCAAAAGCCAAAAGTAATAAGATTCCTAAGGTTAGTGACCCAATGGGTCAACCTCTAGGAAGAGGTGGAAGGGCTGCTAGAAGTAGATTCCGTATCAGAGTCCTCAGTCAGCTGTGGTTCACTATCGTCGAGGCTGATCTCCTCCTGCTCATCGTCCTCTACAGGATCCTCCACCATCGTCTCATCCTCCCATGCCCAATCCTCCTTATCTAGGTCAAGCTCCCAACCAAGTGGAACTCCTTCTAGGATCTCACCAAGTAGAGGCTCTGGTGCTACCTCAAATTCCTACTCCATGGACTCCTCATCGCCCATAGGGTCCTCCGGGTCCTCCTCTGGGTCATCCTCCTCGGGATCCTCCTCTATCGGGTCCTCCTCCTTAGCGTCCTCCTCTATCGGGTCCTTCTCCTCGGAATCCTCCTCTATCGGGTCCTCCTCCTCGGGATCCTCCTCTATCGGGTCCTCCTCCTCGGAATCTTCCTCTATCGGGTCGTCCTCCTCGTCCCTCTTTGCCAATCGCCCACGGGTGTGATGGCCAATCGGGGAGTAATCCACTCTCTCCCCAAACATCTCCTCTGGGTCAGCCTCCTCAGAGCTGATCTCCCAATCCTCTGAAAGTGTTGACCACACCTCCCCACTGCTAATGGATCCTTCCATCTCAGAAACACTTGAATCTGAATCTGCCATTCCAGCCAAAAGTCATATATCAGCCTCCAATGGTACAAAACCAACCTAATAGAAATCTAGATATCACAAGAATGTCATGGAAAGATAATCCCTCCATGACTGGTGTTTGACACCGACTAGAAAGATCCTTATGTCCCCTAGGTATTTCAATGTAGGACTCTTAAGGTGTCAACCTGTGCTCTGATACCACTCTGCAACGCCCCTCCTCTAGGAGGTACATAAAAATTTGAGCATGACCTATTTGTAATAAGAAGGGTCGACCTGCTAAACCTTTATGCACATCACAACATAGATACACTGAAGGGAAAAAAATAAAGCAGTGGAGATGCATATGCAATACCCAAGATCACGAGGTTGACAACAGAGTCCATAGAATACCAAAATAGAACAGAACTAAAGGGTAATACAAAATATTACAATAATAGCAGTGGCTACAACATTAATACATGTTTTATAAGTCAAAGGTACTACAAAAGTGAACATAAATTAACCCCTACTAAGATTTTCTTCTGGAGCTAATCTTCAAATTCAGGGTCTCCAATGCCCTTATCCTTGACAGTTGTATGACCTGCAAGTTGATTCAGAAACAATAGGGGTGAGCCTAAGGCCTAATAGGTAACCATAAAAATCTAGGGTACAATCCAAGGGAACGAATGAAAATGATAGACATAGATATCAAACTTGAACAACGGGGTCTCAACATTAAGTTGTCATTCTTATATCGTAATCATTGATCGAAGTGAAATAACATGTAAAGATGAATAATCAAGGTCTAATATTCAGGATTCCAAACTCCCCAATCATGGGATAATCAATAAACCGCGTATGCCTTTATACACCCACCAGTGAGCGTCCTCACAAAGGGCATTGTCCAACCGTGACACTATAACATTACCACCCACCGGTGAAGCTTACTTCACACAGGGCAAAATCCATGAATATAGACAATCAATCATCAATAAAGAGAGGAATACTATCATTATCAATAGTTGAACCATCGAATCAATTCGAATTGTTGAAATGAAATCATTTAAGGATATCAAAGGTATAAAACTGAAATAAACAACATTAGGATAGCAATGATTAACCAATCAACAACGAGCCCATGCATGAGGTGAATCAAATAGGAATATTATGAAAGTGATAAGACATACAATTAGCACGGGAAACTAACTCGTAGGAACTTCAATAAAGTAATCAATCGAACTCTCAAAGACTTGAGAGGAAACAATGAAAGGTTACCTACCGATTATGTCGGGATCCTCTCGGCCAACGAATGAATCCAAGATTCTCTGTCCTATATATACATGTATACCCACATGAGATTCTAGACACTATGTCTTTTAAAACTTTAACTTAAAACTTATATCATGGTATAAGCTACACCCTAGATGATTGCATCTAATATCTCTAATATGCACAGCAACACAAGTAGTGTACATGCAACAAATTTAGGTGAATGGATGGTATAACAACTGATGTCCAAAATGCATGAAACTAGTCCCAAACGACTCCATTATGAGTCTAATTTTAGACTATAAAACTTTTACATCAATGCATGGTGTATAGTAAGAGTCATGCTCTCAGTAAACTACACATATCAAAACTGTAGCAGAAAAACATAGGTTACTATCTGAAATGAATAATTCACTTCGGGTACTTAACACTATACAAATTAGATAATATTTGGTATATAAGTGATATGATGGGTTAGATTCCAAGTCCAATTAGTTTCATCAAACTTTCAATTTTATAATGCATGTTACATGTAAAACAACACAAGGGGGTAGACTGGAATTGCTAGTATATATACAAGGTATTAGAACTAGGTAACGTTACTCAAATTAATTAAAACTCACATCAATAGAAAGACAATTGAGTCTAGTTTTAGGAATAGAAAGAATTTTATGCATGCATTGTATATGTTGAGATATATGCTCTTTACAAAGGATATAACTCAGGCAGACAGTTTCTGACACATGCACTGAGTTAAACTATATTTTCAAACAAGTAAATGATCTCAGACTTAAACAAACAGGGTCTCAAATGAAAACCACGAAAGTGTAGTTTCTATAACAGTAAGAATTTCATGCATGCATGGTATATGTTGAGATATATGCTCTTTACAAAGGACATAACTCAGGCAGACAGTTTCAGACACATAGACCGAGTTAAACTATACTTTCAAACTAGTTAATAATTTTAGAATTAAACAAAAAGGGTCTCAAATGAAAGACACGAAAGTTTAGTTTCTAGAACATAAAGAATTTCTTCATTTGGATATATACAAAGAAAGTTATGATATGTTTACTGGTAGTGTATCTTGCTGAAAATTTCTGCACGAAATTCTGTTTCAAGATAAATTTGACATGCATGCCCTAAAATGTCACATGCAAGACCCCAAGTGTAATATAACTATAATTATTAATTTAATTTAGTTCTAAATGATGGAATGAAAGAATTTTTTTTGTGTGGAGATTATACCTTAGAATACTCTTTTCTCCCTTTCCAAGCTTCAATGAACCCCTTCTTGACTATTCTTGAGCTCCCTCTTCTTCTTCAAGGTAAGTAAGGGTTTAGGGTGAAAAAAAATGAACGAGGAAGAGGATATAGAGGAGGGTTGCTGCTGGCCAGATATAGAGTGAAAGAGAGAGATGAAGGATCGCTGCAATGGCACTCAAACACTAGAAGGGGGGGTTGAATAGTGTTTATGAAATCTAATGCGGAAACTTTAAATTTCAATAAAATAATATCACAAAGAGTAAGAAAGATCAAACCAATGTGTAGACAATCATAGAAAATTGCATACGCAAACACAAGGATTTATACTGGTTCGGTCCTCCAGACCTACATCTAGTCCCCAAGCCTCGCTTGAGATTTCTCCACTATTTCCACTTGCAAAACCGCAAGCACTTGCAACCCGCAAGCAAACAGTACAACCTTGACAATCTTCAATTGCCAATGCCACAACAATCTCTTCTTTTAAGAGATTATCAAACTGAAACAAAATGGTACAACTCTTTCTCTTCCTATAAGCCTTGATGTGTGGATGTGAGTGACTTACAATAGGCTATAGGAATGGTTTTTGTTCTAGAGTAATGGAGTTTTAATCAAGAACAAAACTGAAAATAACACTCAGTTTTTCTCTTCAAAAATGAAGTTAAGAACTCAAGAAAAACTCAAGTTTATGGAAAGGAATCTTGTTCTTTAACTTCAGAACTTAACACCTATTTATAGGCACAAGTTTAGTTCAAATTATTTCAAAAATAACTGCCAAAATGTTCATAAAACGTTCAAATCATTTTGAAAAAATGACAGTTAGAAATGACTATATGGTCGACCAGATTGAGGCCTGATCGACCAGACAGGCTTCCTGGAATTTTTCTGTCCGAGTCTGGAGCCTCTGGTCGACCAGGTCCATATCTGGTCGACCAGACAGAGATTTTTCTGAATCTCTGTTTCTGGTTCAGTTATATCTGGTCGAGCAGATATTTCTTTGGTCGGCCAGAAACTATGTTATACATATTTTCAATAGTTTAAAATGTTATTCATTCGTTGATTAGACTTAGGATTATACTTAGAATATTTTCTATGATTTTCTAAGTGATTAGTGTGTTGTGTGTGTGATCAAGGCTTGTACAAAGATTCTAAAAGAAAAGACAAAATTACATCATTCTTGTAAAGTATATTTTCTTCTTGAAGCGCGAAGTGACTTGATTAACTTCATCTTTTTGATCTTTGAAATCTTGTCTTGATATAGCCTTAATATCTTGATTGTTGCTTTGAGATGTATATCTTGAATCTGCAGTAAAATATGTTAGATAAACAATGATTTGTTATCATCAAAATACAAGAGATATTGTAACATTAACCATGTTCCCAACAATCTCCCCCTTTTTGATGATGACAAATAATATTAACAATCTCCCCCTTTTTGATGATGACAAATAATATTGAAAAACTTTAATTAAACATACTTACTCCTCCTACAACAATGCATACATGTTAATTTAACACACAAAAAAATAGCACTTAGAATATTGAAATATTGACAACTATTGCAATATTAGAATAATCTCTGTTTCTGGTTCAGTTATATCTGGTCGACCAGATATTTCTTTGGTCGGCCAGAAACTATGTTATACATAGTTTCAATAATTTAATAAGTTATTCATTTGTTGATTATACTTAGGATTATACTTAGAATATTTTCTATGATCTTCTAAGTGAGTAGTGTGTGTTGTGTGTGTGATCAAGGCTTGTACAAAGATTCTAAAAGAAAAGACAAAATTACATCACTCTTGTAAAGTATATTTTCTTCTTGAAGCGCGAAGTGACTTGATTAACTTCATCTTTTTGATCTTTGAAATCTTGTCTTTGATATAGCCTTAATATCTTGATTGTTGCTTTGAGATGTATATCTTGAATCTGCAGTAAAATATGTTAGATAAACAATGATTTGTTATCATCAAAATACAAGAGATATTGTAACATCAACCATGTTCCCAACAATCTCCCCCTTTTTGATGATGACAAATAATATTGAAAAACTTTAATTAAACATACTTACTCCCCCTGCAACAATGCATACATGTTAATTTAACACACAAAAAAATAGCACTTATTAGTAATCCTAATATTGTATAACAATGCATACATGTCAATATTTCAATATTGCAATAGTTGTCAATATTTCAATATTCTAATATATCTCCCCCTTTGTCATTAACAAAAAGAAGAATAGAAAGGGAGATAATAATAAATAATGAAACAATTAATACATTTCTTCAATACAACCTAATATTTCTTCAACATGGCCTAAAACTTCAAATAAATCTTTAAGATTATGCACATAGTCCATTACATCTCCCATCCAAATAGGAAGACATAAGCTTGAAATGAAAATTAAGTTTTCTATGGGAGTCATATCGAATGTATTATGTTGTTTAAGAAGAAATATTTCTCTACTTATAACCATGGAAGTAGTTATTAGAGACTAACCATCAAGTAGTTATTTAAGAATTGGTCAGAAGAACTAAAATATGAGTTCAAAAATTTATGAAACATTTCTCTTATGTTAACCAAGATAAATAACAAGAATATTTGCTAAAAATAAAATTCATTAAGCAAAAGCAAACATACTTGTTCATTAATAACTAGCAAAAGCAAACATATCAAACATATTATTAATAAGAGTTTTAGAGTTCATACCGACCGTTCCAATTCCTACCACTTGACCCTTGTTGTTGTCACCGAAGGTAACAGTTCCTCCATCTTTAAGTTGTATGGAAGAGAATAAGTCCTTGTTCCGGGTCATGTGATTGGAACAGCCACTATCTAAAATCTATTTTTCCTTTTTATTAGGTACCTGTAAAATAAGAAATATGTTTTGGTACCCTTTAACTTTTGGGTCCATGAGATTAGCATTTAGGAAACCAAACCCAATAAGAATTTGGTTTACCTACATTGTATGAAAGATAGTTTTTAGAATCACAAATATCCTTTTTGTAATTTGATAAGTATATCTTTCTATCACTTAAACATGCATTTTTAGGAACCCAAATGTAGTTGGATTTTAAAATATTCTTACATGCAACTTTCTTCATATGCATTTTTCTATCATTATGTGAAAATACCTTAGAACTAGCATGCATAGATGTATCACTATGTGCATGATAATTACTTTTCACAAATTTAGAATATAAATAAGCATGATTTTTCTTTTGCATAGAAGAGTATATTTTCTCATTACTGGAGTTAGAAACATATCCTAATCCTTGTTTACTCTTAGCAGGTAATTGATAAGAAAGTAGATTATCTAGATTCTCTTTTCCTTTGTTAAATTTACCTACATTCATTAATATAGTTTCATATTTGGTTTTAAGACTTTTAACATTATCATCCAAATTTGAAATACGAACTTTAAAGAAATCACATTCTTTTTTAAGAAGTTGATTGTTACTAGATAACTTGTAATTTTCAGAAAATAACTCTTTATTCTTCTCTTTAAGATCTTCTATTTGTGAAGCATAAGGAGAGACTAAAGTGTTATTCAAATTTTCATTTTCATTTTTTAATATTTTAAAAGAAGAATTTAGTTGCTTGTATTTCAAAAATAATTCGTTAAATGCGTCAAGTAACTCATCATGATTACTTACTTGATCATCATCAGATTCATTTGCCATAAAGCACATATTCGCTTGATGATCTTCTTTTTCCTCTTCTTCATCTGAAGATGACTGGTCACTATCATCCCATGTTATCGACAAAGCCTTCTTCTTTTTGTTCTTCACTTGTTCATTCTTGTTCTTTGTGAACCCGTTGAAATTGTTAGAAGACTTCGATTTTAACTTTTGTTGTAGGGGACAATCTTTCTTGTAGTGTCCTGGCTTATTACAACCAAAACAAGTAACTTTGTTAGTATCTTAGAATTTACTAGAAGAGAACTTACCTTTCTTCAAGAATTTTCTGAATTTGCGTGTGATTATTTCAAACTTTTCTTCGTCATCAGAATCCTCATCATCGGTAGATGCTTGGAAAGCAAGAACCTTCTTGTTCTTATCTTCATTATCCTTTTTCCGATCTTCAAGTTGCACCTCGTATGCCATCAAATTCCCTATCAAATTTTCTACTGTCAATGTGGAGAGGTCGTTGGCTTCCTCTATCGCGGTAGTCTTCTTCTCCCAATATGAAGTAAGAGCTCGGAGGATTTTCCTAACCATCTCCACTTATGTATAGACCTTTCCTAACGCAATTAGGGAGTTGATGATATCGGTGAACCTTGTGAACATTTCACCAATTGTCTCGTTGCCGTTCATCTTGAACATTTCAAACCTGTGCACTAAAACAGAAATTTTTGAGTCTTTAACCTTAGAAGTTCCGTCGTGGGTTACCTCAAGTGTGTGCCAGATTTGATGTGCAGTGTTGGAAGTAGACACGCGGTTGAATTCATTCTTATCCATTGCGCAAAATAAAGTATTCATTGCCTTGGCGTCAAGATTCGCATTTGTCCTTTCCATCAACGTCCATTCAGAGTATGAAGTAGTAGGCTTGTTATAATCAGACTCCACTATGTTCCAGAGATCGAATCCTATCGATTGAAGGTAGATCTTCATCCTACACTTCCAGTAGTTGTAGTTGGAACCATCGAAAAGTGGTGGTCTTTGAGTAGAATGTCCTTCCTTGAACTGTGATGTAGATGGTGTAGCCATTGTTATCCTTGATCAACCCGCTCTGATACCAATTGAAGGATCACTGCAATGGCACTCAAACACTAGAAGGGGGGTTGAATAGTGTTTATGAAATCTAATGCGGAAACTTTAAATTTCAATAAAATAATATCACAAAGAGTAAGAAAGATCAAACCAATGTGTAGACAATCACAGAAAATTGCATACGCAAACACAAGGATTTATACTGGTTCGGTCCTCAAGACCTACATCCAGTCCCCAAGCCTTGCTTGAGATTTCTCCACTATTTCCACTTGCAAAACCGCAAGCACTTGCAACCCGCAAGCAAACCGTACAACCTTGACAATCTTCAATTGCCAATGCCACAACAATCTCTTCTTTCAAGAGATTATCAAACTGAAACAAAATGGTACAACTCTTTCTCTTCCTATAAGCCTTGATGTGTAGATGTGAGTGACTTACAATAGGCTATAGGAATGGTTTTTGTTCTAGAGTAATGGAGTTTTAATCAAGAACAAATCTGGAATCTTCCTCTGATGAAGAAAGAGAGACTGAGAACGAGCGGAATCTACAGTCTGCCAAAATGGAAGAATTGGCTCCCATTCTGGTCGACCAGACAGAGATTTTTCTGAATCTCTGTATCTGGTTATTATATCTGGTCGACCAGACATTTCTTTGGTCGGCCAGAAACTATGTTATACATATTTTCAATAGTTTAAAATGTTATTCATTCGTTGATTAGACTTAGGATTATACTTAGAATATTTTCTATGATCTTCTAAGTGAGTAGTGTGTGTTGTGTGTGTGATCAAGGCTTGTACAAAGATTCTAAAAGAAAAGACAAAATTACATCACTCTTGTAAAGTATATTTTCTTCTTGAAGCGCGAAGTGACTTGATTAACTTCATCTTTTTGATCTTTGAAATCTTGCCTTGATTTAGCCTTAATATCTTGATTGTTGCTTTGAGATGTATATCTTGAATCTGCAGTAAAATATGTTAGATAAACAATGATTTGTTATCATCAAAATACAAGAGATATTGTAACATCAACCATGTTCCCAACAAGAGAGAGATATGATAGGATTCTCTTGGAAGAGTAAGAGATGTGAAAGGTTGAGTGGTTGACTTGCTTTTTCCCCATGCACTAATCTCTTGCAATAATGAGTTTTTGAGGGTTTAAAATGTAAAATACTCCCACTAACATGGCTGACCAAAATTAAACAATTATGTTAATTAGAGTGTTCAAATTAGGTATTTAATAATTTAGTTATCTCTAATCAAGGTTTAAAGCATAGTTAACTTAGGTTTACATGCTAAGTTTGTATGCATGCTATGACTTAGTTAACTAGATCACAATATGAGAATTAGCTAAGTTTAAATCTTCATACTAGAAGATTATATGAGATACAAAGAAGAAAAAAAATGTACTAATTTATGGATTGGTATCGATAACGGTATCCCATCTATGAAAGGAAAAAATGGAATGTTATAAGATACTTCCAAAGATTCTATCTTGGCTGACTTGCAAGCTGAACTCAAACAGAGTTATGCAGATAAGTTCTCTAGGTTGGAACTTTGGATTCTTAGTCGCAGATTGGATTTGGGCACATAGCTTCCACTTTTGTATCTTCATTTTAACTTAACTTCATTAATGAAACAAAGTCTTTTACTTAGCACATTCTTCTTCTTATTATGATTTTTATCCGATCTAGGACAAATAATCACAATACTTGTAAAATTTTTAACAAATCATCAGCCCTCAATAGATTTGGAGTGCCTTTAGTGATTACCATTTGAATCGAGCTAGCATGTGAATTGCTAAAACATGTTTCACATGTAATGTTGTGCTAAAAGAATGAATTTTTTTAGACTTAGTGCTATGATTTTAAATACATAGACTTAATCATCCCTTGCGGGATGCTCATAGGATTTTTGGAAAACCCTCAGCCATCGATGGATTTGGCGTGCCTTTACCGATTACCATTTGAATCGGACTAGCATGTGAAGCATGGACTTATCTCTGTTTAAGCCGATTTTGCGTGCCTTTACGTATTTGGCGTAGACTTATCTCTGTTTAGGGGTCGAGATAAAGTTCCCTATGCATGTGAAGCATGGATTCTAGCGTTATTAATAATAACCTGTCATGATGTCGAATACGTGGGCTTTGTCCTTTTCGTGGTAAAAGACTAACCGGCAACATATGTTAGGCATAGGCTTATCTCTAATTAGGGATTGAGATAAAATCTCCCATACGTGTGAAGTAGGCTAAGCACGGTTCGGTCCAAACCGAAAAACCGATCGAACCGACCTAAACCGACCCGAAGAAATCGGTTTTAAGAGTAGGGCGGTTCGGGTCGGGTTGAAAACTTTTCAACCTGAACTGACCCGAACCGACCGAATACCCCATGGTCTAAATACCCATTCTGCTCAAACCCGACCCGTCTCCAAAGATAAAGTCTCAGACTCTCAAACCCTAAACACCTAAACTTCCCTTCCCCCTTTCCCTGCCGCCTCCTCAGTTCTTCTCTCTCACTCCTCAGTCCTCAGTTCCACGATCCACCTCTCTCACTTCCTCTTCCTCTTCCTCACTTTCGCAGTCTTCATGGCTGAGGCCGAAACATCTCCTCAGGCTCAGGATCTATCTCCGGGTTTGGGGGGACACCCGCACCCGTCACCGAGGCCGAGCTATAAACTTTATCTTTTGATCTTCTTCAAGCTTCTGACTGTGATTATTCTTTAATTTTGATTTATTTCCTTGGATATAGCAGCTAGTAAGTTGAGATATCGGCCTATCAGTTTCCTGTTCATTTATGCACTTCTATTCTCTTATGATTTATGAGTTTGTGCTTTGATAACAATCCTTAATTTGTTTTTTGGTATATATGTTTTCATGGATGATGATTTTTTCTTTTTTCCCCTCTTGTTTTTCCAAATTAAGTCGGCAACCCTTGAAATACTACTATTTAATATTCATGGGATTCCTTACCCATCACGATATATTCTATTTGATTTAGCATTTGGAAAGTCTAATATTTAAGTCATTCTGAAAATGAAGTTAAAATCGAACAAACCGAACCGAACCATACCGAACTGACTTGCAATGGTTCGGTTTAGTTTTGAATTATATGCGGTTTGGTTCAGTTGTTCAAAATTTGGTAAAACCGACCCGAACTGAACCGTGCTCAGTCCTAGTGTGAAGTATGGATTCTAGCATTATTAATAACAACTTGCCATGATGTCGAATACGTGGGCTTTTGCCATTTTACGGGAATGCGGTACCCGGCAACATGGGCTAGATGAAGACTTATCTCTGTTTAGGGGTCGAGATAAATTCCCCTAAGCATGAATCTTGGTGTCTTTTTCACGGTGAAAGATTAACCGACAACGCGTGTTAGGCGTGTTAGGGTTCTGGTTTTGAACCTACACTCTTGTTTTTGTTTTGATGATTATACAAACAGTTTATAACTAATTTTGTTTTCTAGTGATTGTAACTTATTACATGTTTATGTCAAAGTTAAAGATCCAGATTAGCTATGGTTACAATCATTTAGGTATTATTGTATATATCGTGTATTATTCTCTAAGCTCAATATATATTTATACACACACTTAACATCATGTTTATATTGTACTATATTACAAAACTTTTGCAATAGACCTCTTTATCAAAATCAAATGTATATGTTTACATATTTACACATATATGTGCACATTTGCTAAAACGATGATCTTTTACAAATGGCAAAAGTAATTTCCAAAATTTATTCACAAATATGTTTAATATCGTGTTTATAAACTATTCCTAAAGATTCATATTTTTTAGAATTTATTTGATATTTTTTACCAATGTTCAAATTTGAAAATTTTCTGTGTACATGTTTATGAGTCGAATCATGAACAGTATTGAGTCGACTCACAAACTACTACGTAGTTTACATTTGGTTTTTGCTGAGTCGACTCATGACTTTGATGAGTCGACCTATCAGGTTGAGTTAACTCATGACTGTCATAACTCGACTCACAAAGTGTGCTGGAAAATGAATTTTGTTTCTGTTGAGTCGACCTATCATTTTATGAGTCGACCCATGATTTATGAGTCAACTTATGATTTTTATGAGTCGACCCATAAGTTGATTTTTAGCCTATAATGGCTACTTATGAGTCGACTCATGAATAGTACTGAGTCGACTCATATCACTGTAACGGCTACTTTCTGGTTTTGTCTTCTTCTGACTTTTTGGTCTTTTTACTTGGGTTCTTGCAGATGTTTTAGGATGTTATAAATACCCCAATGCCTTAAACATTCTGACCAACCAAGAGATTTATTTAATTAAGTTTACAAGTGTTTAAGAGGTGTTTAAAAGCCTTGTTTCAAGCTTTGTTTCAAAGAGAAATTTTACAAAAAGAAGAATCTTTCAATTTCAATTGAGGAATTCATCCTCGTCATCATTTCTTTAGTTCTTTGTGTTTATAGAGAAGTTTTTTTAAACTCTTTTATATAGCTTATTGATTGTCAAATTTCATATTCAT